TTTCTGGCTTTGATCGCTCGATAGTTCCGTGGTGTTCCTTTTCACATTTGGGGAAAATTACTCCGCCAGCCAATAAATCTATCATGGTTCAGATTTCGGCGTCCCGAAGAGAACGATTTCTGAGCCGTTTCTTTTGTACATTAATGGTATTAAGAATTTTTTTATGTCCATGGCAATCTCATTCACAGTTGGAGAGATCAATCTGTCAACCAGGAAATGGAGAGTGTGTCAGACATCGAGATTATGAATACGGTTGCCGTGAAGCCGTATTTCTTTATAGGCTGTTAACAATTTCTCAGAATGTTTGCTTTGGTCCAAGGAACCGTTTGATGCGGTTTTTATAGCGCTATGTTTTGCAAGAGCACGACGATGCTGACGTTTCCGTAACAGGTACCGTTAAACCTGTGGTTCTGTTGCGCAGTTGGACTTCTGATCTGACCTTAAAGTCGTGTACGCAAAAGTTTTCACATGTCCCATGAAAAGTATTCGCGGAGAGTTCAATGAAGTAACGTGGCCAGGCAGTTGGTTTCTTCTACGAATCTGCCGTCTGTTTGTCTCGAAAGATGTAATACAAGAAGTGCTGAAAAGCGAACGTCGTTCCCCAGAACACCTCTGGCCGCAGGCAACGTATTGGGTAGCCGTTAAAAAAAGATGCGGTATGCATGTGACCCTGTAATTGCCAAAATACCATTAAGCTATGACCTGCTTGAATGCCATGATCGTGGGTCAGCTCAGAGCATGATGGAGTTGCAAGGGCGTATCGCTTCCAGTTTTGGATGAGTTTTGCGCTGGTATTACAAAAGTCCAGAGATTACATGGCCTTCGAATAGCTATGCATTCACAATATAGCCATTATATATGTGTCATCGGTTCGACTGAAGATTAAAGCGATGAACGACAAGAGTAAATGCGCATAGAGCTCTAGAGATAAACATGCTGTTTGATTCATCCGATAACGTCCGAGCACACTGCGAGCAGACCGTAACAGTGCCAAGTTAATTCTGAGCAAATGCTTGTCAAACGGTCGCCAGCCACCATTGGGTTACTGTTGCGTTAGTCAGTGACTGTCGAAATTTTATACAGTATATTGTTGAATACAGAGCACTTTAAAAGCACTGTATATTAGTTATATTGGATTTGTATGTTTGCATTTGGTCATTAGGCTGCAAATGGCATGATATTTGCACAACATGTCCCCTAGATGATTGATTGCGGGACTAATTGCTGCAACGAGTGACTGTTTAACGTTCAAAGGCCGAACAGGAAAGTGCGGACAGATTCTTATTATGAGTTACTCATCAGATGTCTTGGGTTACCAAACGATGTCCGGGGTGTTTTGTAGGCAGCTTCATTTTGCCTATGATCAGTTACGCTGGTATCGCACGTTTCTTTGGATGACTGGTGCGTGCAAGTGGACATTGTTCTACTGTCGATTCAGGCGGTAATTACGAGGACAGTCGCTTGACCAACCAACAACCTGAACATCGACCAGAGCCCACTGTGGCTATGTAATGGCTGACGGGGGTTCTGTTCGCAGTCGTACTCGTTCGTGCCTCGTCTGTGTAACCATTGGAAGATCCTTTAGGCAATATGTCGTTCCTCATCTGTTTCGTTTCATGTTTGTTTGCTGTTGTTCCGGTCGTCACCTTGAGCTGTTTCCATAAGCAGAACCTCTCTTTTTTGTTCTGCAGCTTTTATGGTAACGTATTGTCTGATGCACAGGCCTTACGTCTGTTATAATCTGTATCCATCTTACGTAACGTAACAAAAACAGGGCAAGGACAGGGGATTCAACCCGCAAATTAAAAAATGCATTATTATGCATCTTCCTGTTATTGTCGCCTCGTCGTTAATGTGCGCTGATAATCATAGTGAGAAGTAACGGTTGGTTAGTTAATCAGTCGCTCAGCGAATCAGCTGCAGGCTGTGCCGTTTACAATATAATTTATCTGCGAATTCACACGCTGAAGCTGTACCTACGAACTCCGGAGACAGTCGATGTAGTCTGATGAGTAAAAGAATATTTCATAATGTTCAAACTACATATTTCCATGAACTGTCGTACATTAGCTTTTTCGTCTTTTACATCATCGCTGTTTCGTAATTTCCTGTACTTTACTCTTGACTGGTATACTGTATTTATCAGTGTTGTGGGAAATTTCCCTGATCGTTTTTATGCTTAAGGCCGAAAGGGAATAAAAGAAATGAGTATTCTATGTCACGCCCAAAGCCATTTGCATTGAGAAAAAGAGATGAGAATTATTCATTTCTAAGAATATTCATTTGAGTTCGAAAGTGCACATCAAAAATGAAATGGCAGATTCTTTTTTGTGTCTCACTGTGTTCTGTCACTTTACTTTGTGAGACTCTTTCTGTTTCTCTAGTTCTCTCGCTCCCCGTCCCCGGCTATCTGAAAGCTACTTTATGCAGCATATTGCGCAGCTTCTTTATAGCGTTTCATTAGTTTGAGATCTCGCAACTATGCATAAATGTTACATGGTACACTTTGCCGTAATCGCCAACTTTCGCGTAACTTTTCAGCATACTTTATTGATTGTTTGTCTGCGGTAAGCATTGTATGACCGGCAATGGCCTTCTGGTAGTCGCTAATGGAGATGACATACTTGTGCACCTGTGCGGTGAAAATATTTACATTCTGATAACTGGTTTGTCATAACCGTGTCTCACAACGTTATGGATGTTCGTCACTGCGCAGCAAGATATTAACTGATAATGACTTTCTTGGTCAGCGTGTTGGCGTTCTTGTCCCGGTCATGCATAATCGTATCTGGTAGTGAATGAGCAGATATGGAGATTTATGAGTGTCTGCAAGAT